AACATGTTTTGAGGAAGTGTATCATGTAGGCATGCTGTTAGCGCAATGCTAACTGGCAAATAAGCTTCCAATATTACATTAGCTTTGTACTTCCAGTACAAAACTAAAGAAGCAAACTTCAGACATCAAACATGTCTTGGCTATTGACTACAGTCGGGGTAAATTTTGCAAACCATTGCTTTAATCAGGTGCTTTCTCTGTTACAGAAAGAGTATCCTGGTGAGGTGTTTAGATGAGGGCTACATGTGGAACTAGGTTCAGTCTGTTTTGTGTCCTTTATCTCAATGTATCTGTGCTTCTTTAAAGGCTACTTCTATAATATTATCCGTGTTCCTCGTGGTGAAGGGAGGACAGATGTAGCTGATCTCAATGGTGCCGAGATCCTTTGCTCCATTCCAGCTGTCAGTTCAAGGAAGCCATCCTACTACCACAGCTTTGGTAAGCAATCAATCATCTATCAGTCCTTCAGTCACCCTGTTGAATCAATCGGATTTTTTTATCAGTCTTTGCTTTGCCTTCACAGCGATGTCAGAGAATTACGTGATCTTCATTGAGCAGCCGATCAAGCTGGACTTGCTGAAGTTCATGCTGTACAGAGTTCAGGGCAAGAGCTTCCATAAAGTCATGTCCTGGGAGCCCCAGCTGGAGACTGTCTTTCATGTGGTTGACCGACGAACAGGCCAGGCATGTCATGTTTTTTTTTTTACACCAATGATGTCCAGTTCACAAAGGGCCTAAGAAGGTCCAAGCTTTAAGTTGTTGTTCTGTTCATGTCTCTACATTACTACTCAACATTCAGTCCACTGCTAAAGATGCATGGAGCATATGATCTGTCTTCTCAGACATTGATACTTCTCTCTGCAGCTCAGCAAGACGAGGTACTACACCACCGCCATGTTTACCCTTCATCAGATCAACGCCTATGAGGACAATGGTTATCTTATCATGGACATGTGTTGTGGAGAGGATGGCAATGTGATTGGAGAATTCACACTGGAGAACCTCCGCAAGGCAGCAGGAGAGGAGCTGGACAAGGTACTCGTTGGCTTCCATGGCAACTCACTTAGGGCCTGGCAGGTCACATCAATTCTATCTATGAAAAAATTATTCAAAAGCTTCTATTTAAGGGCTTCCGAGTGGCACAACTGTCTAAGCGTTGGCCGTATCATCAGGAGATCGCAAGTTCGATCCATTATGATACTACAGCCATTCGTGGCCGGGAGTCCAAGAGAGCACAGCTGGCCTCGCTCTCTCTGGGTGGGTTGGATGGCTCCCCCCTCTCCCCGCATCACTCAACGTGATGCTAGTCAGCACAGGCGACGGAACAGAACTGGCAGTTGGCGCTTTCCTCCAAGCGCGTTGGCTGTCCAATGACGTTTTTGTGAGCAGCAGTTCAAAAAGATGCGGTGGCACTTCACCGGTCTCGGAGGAAGCCTGTGCTAGCCTTCGCCCTCCTGGCGCTAACTAGCGGGTGGAATTGGAGACGACTAAATTGGGGGAAAAAAATCGTACACATAAAATCTTAAACACATCTTACGTATGGAATTCAATTGCTTAGAATGCTCAGAATTACTGAGCTGAAATATTAACTGGGTATAAATGCAACACAAAGAGTAATGAAGTAAAGAGTTATTTTTTATGTCGTTTAACATCAGGGTATATTTAAAGCTGCTCTACAAAGGATTTTACAAATCAGTGTCCGTTTGCTGCTGCGAGTCACCCGGTAGAGCCTGAAATAATAATTTAAAAGTGTTTTTCAGACTGCTTTACATATTAACATTACACACACAGGCTCAAAAAGAAGGTCCCATTCAATGTTTAGGTCTCAAATGAAAAATCAGCATTATTCTGATGAAGATATGATGACAATAGAAGATAATTTACACACATCCTCAGTAAAAATGTCCTGCACCAAGTTTTAATTGAGCTCTCATTGAATTCTCCTTCAATGCACTCACAATCATCACATTAATCAGGAAAGGTGACCGAAGCACAACCCAGGTTGCATGCAATTACACAGTTCCATGTTTTAGAACCTGCTGGGTCAAAACTTAAAAATCTCATAGATAAAAAACATTTGGAGCACGGTTTTTGCATGAATTCTTTCATGATGTGACCTTCCAGGCAGTAAGCAAGTTAGCTTGGAATAAACCTACTGCTAGAGTCATAGCACAGTGTTTATCCACAATGCTAATTGTGTGGTATAGCATTATGTGAAAAAATATTTTGGAAAATAATGTCAATGTTAGCCTTTGAATTAAACCGTCCTTCATCAAAGCCTCTTAACTGCTCTTGTAAATTCATAGTTGTTTTAACATTTGACAGCTTTAAAAAGTAAAACACGTCTCTGTTGCTTTGGCAGTTTTACAATTCTTTGTGCACAACCTTGCCTTGGCGATATGTCCTGCCTCTGGAGGTAAAGGAAGAAGATCCAAATGACCAAAACCTCATCAACTTACCAAACACCACCGCCACAGCCGTGAAGACAACAACTGGGGTGCGAGAGAAAGAATCACAAGTGATGTAACAGAAAAACCTACAGCCAGTGCTTACAACCTCTGTTATTTTTATTCCATACAAAAAGGTGTTCTGCACACATGAGAATCTGTACAACGACAATCTCTTGGAATATGGTGGCCTGGAGTTCCCACAAATCAACTACACTCACTACAACGCTCGTCCTTATCGCTACTTCTATGCCTGCGGCTTTGGACATGTGTTTGGCGATTCTTTGCTTAAGATGGACCTTGAAGGAAAAAGGCTGAAGGTATGAATCTCAGAGCTTTAAATGTAAATTAAGACACACGTGGCTTGTTTGCTCAATGGGGGCTTATTGGTTATTAAACAGTACATTATTTTAGTCCATTTTTAGTTAACATGATCATCATCATGCTTGTTGTTTTTAAGCTCTGCAAGTATTGTAGTAATACTTTTATATGTTAAGATTTGATTGCTAACAAAAAGGGTTAAAATCTTTAAAGGTCCAAAGGAAAATTGCCCAATCAGGATTTTTTCCTCCTATGGTATCTAGATAGATACAGCCAAGTGAGCTCTCCCATTGGTTACGCCTTCAGGAGCTGGATTGAAGGCCTTATATGTTAGAGTAAGCACCAAAATAGTTGCCTACTTCATACATCCCATACTTGTAACAAAGCAATTTCAGGGGGATGTAACCAAAGAGTAGTCATGTGACCCTGAAGGACGGTACATGGTAATTGTCTCATACTGAGTACTATACTGCTACTTTTAGGAGCGCATGCAGTATGTTGCATATACTCGTACAGTATGCAATACATAGTGCATAGTATGCTATTTTCTACACAGCCCAGGTTTCAGTATTGGAAGTAGTCAGCTTCAAATATAAATTATGGAACGTCTTTTACAAGCTTTAAATGTCCATTTAATCCACAGCGGCCAAAAATGTTCAGATGCTGTAGCGCTAGCCTTAACACTAACATCTTATTACAAATCCCATAGGTGCACTAGCAGAAATTAGCTTTATCCTAGAGGTGGGTTTTGTTCCTAGAGTTAATAGTCACCATATTTAGTAGTCCTAGAGTTAATAGTCACTATTTTTCATTAAACTCTGTTTAGCCACTCAGTGTTGACCTGCAGTTATGGGTTCTCCTTACAGTTTCTTTTTGACTGTCAATATAAGTTGAACTATGAGTTGCTTTCTTTGGCAGGTGTGGCGTCATCCTGGTCTGTTCACATCAGAGCCTGTGTTTGTCCCAGCACCAGATGCCAAAGACGAAGACGATGGTGTGGTCATGTCAGTGGTCATCACACCAAGAGAGGTGAGTCAGTGATGTTAAAAGTGATGGAGTACAAAACACTCCACTACTAAATTATCACCGTGAATATATGTGTATTATTTGAAATTTTGAAGTTTTTTTTCATACCAACTGGCATCATGCCAGACCTCCCACCCCTCAAATCGGGGGTGGTGAGCCTACATTTCAGGTAGCGTTGGCTCCATGTTGCCTTTTTGCTTCCAAATTGAGGAAGCAATTAGCTTGGCTAGCTAACTAGCCATAGCTATGTAGAGTAACACACATAGAAGCACTTTGTTAAACCTAAAAATGTGGCTTGTGTGTTCTATTGCAACTGCTATTAGTTAGCTAATTTTGCTAATGTAAATTTTAAGGTAGATAGCTAATAAACAAACAAACAAGCAAATTAGCTCTTCAAATATTTTTTACTATTACTTTTCAGCGGAGTACGTCACAAATTTAGGTCTGCCAGGACACATTTTAGAACACATATATGTCTAATATTATCTTGTATTTCTATATTTGTTTAGAGAAAGAGCTCCTTCCTCCTGGTTCTCGATGCTAAGACGTTCACAGAACTGGGCCGTGCAGAGGTGCCAGTGGACATCCCTTCTGGAACTCATGGACTGTTCAATGAGATGGGCTGAAGTCAAAGAGCACCACAGATGTACATGAGACAACATCGGAAATATAACACATTTTATATGTATAGTTTGTACTATCTAGAACCTATTTGAGAACCTAAGAGAAATTTGTTTAATAAACCTGTTATTAAACAGGATTTCAAAGTTAGACTTCAACTTCTTACAATACTGCGTCATTGAAAAATGTCTGAATTGTGAGCAAATGTTTGTGGGCCCTGTGAAACTACTGTGAAGCATGGTGGAGGGAGTATAATGGTGGGCAGCTTTACTGCTAAACAGCCTGCATTCATGAAGACAGTGGTTCCCAAACCTGCTGTGTGTACTGATTGTTAAATAACAATTTCATTTTTATAGCATGCAACGAAAAAGTGTTCACAAACTGTTTCTCTCACAACTGTGTTTACCTCTGATTAATATCAAACAAGTAAGCCAGTGTTGTCAGGCCTTTGATGACCATAGTGTGACTTACTTATAATAGACTTTTTCATGTACTTTTTCTTATATATATATATATATATATATATATATATATATATATATATATATATATATATATATATTAGGTATTTTTTGTTTGATATATTTGTGTTTGTATATATACTTTTGTTGTTGTATTTTAAAAATTCATAACAAATGTAGGACAGTGTAAGTGTGACCAAGCCTTCCTTGAGCGCGATTAACTTCCAGTATAATAATTTATAATCATTAGCTAGTTTAAATACGGCCGAGAACTGTATTTCTGTATGGCTTCCTTTTGCCGGAAATATCTGGCAACCCGCTCCACTTCACTAGATGGCGACGACAGGCTCTGTAAAAAGTGGACGTGAGCTGTGGGAGGCTGTGTCTCAAATAGCGCCCTACTTGCTACTTAGTGCACTATGTAGGCCGTGAAAGTACAACTTTCACACGGATATCCAGCATCACAGGTACACAGGGAGCAGAGTGCAGCGGTGTTTAATCTGAAGAGAACAGTGTTTCTGAACGAAACTCTTGGAGATACGGAGTGAGTGAGAGAGAGAGGAGGAGAGTTTATTCGTTTGTCACTGTTTTTAGTTGAGAAGCGTCTAACGTGTTAGCTACGTAGCCTAGCTAGTGTTTACAGTGTTTATACAGCAGTTTCTCTGAAGCACTTCAGAAAAGGAAAACGCCTCAAAGTTACATACAAGTCATTTCTTCCTCACAAAAGTCTTGGTAAGACGATTTAACAAAACGTATTAGCATGTTACTAATATTTATCTTAGCAAAACAGGAAAAAAGAATAACTCAGTCTGTCTGAAGTTAGCAGTACGCTAACTCAGCTAGCTGAAGCTGTGGCTATAGTCAGTCAGGTGAGGTGAGGTGTGGTTAGAGGTGGGTGGATTAGCATTAAACCATTCTTAATTGGTGTTATTTCAGTGAAATAATGATTTAAAGTGTAAGTACATGTAGCTAACTAAATAGATAAACTAATAAGCTAACAAATGTCGAAATGTTGGTGAAGTATCAGGTTCAAAAACTCCTGAAGTAACGTTACTGAGTACAGACCTGCCGTGGAGCTTCTTAGTCCGTCCAGCATCTATTAGCATACGAAGATACGCTTCTTCAGCTTGAAGGAATCAAAATAAAACACAAAACAAACGACTAAATGTAGCCTGAATAATAAAAAAAAAAAACTTATTTTGCTCAGAGATATACGGAGCCCCAACAGTGACGTGATGGTTATTTTTAATAAGACGTGGCCACGAATTAATATATCGAGGACACAAGTTAAATTTCTCATAACTTGTAGCCACGATACTGTAATTCATGACTTTAAAATAGAAAATTGTGGCCTTTATACAGAAAGCTGTGGCCACAATATAATAATTCATGGCTCTAATATAAACAGTTATGCCCTCAATATAGTCATTTGTATTTTTTATAAATAAAAATAATGCGTGGCCACACCTTTGTAAGGCATGGGAACAAGATAATTAAGTCGTGGCCATGATTAGTGAGGTGTGGGAACGAGATCCTAATGCGTGGCCATGACTTAGTAAGGCATGGGAACAAGATCCTAATGCATGGCCACAACTTTGTAAGGCATGGGAACAAGATAATTAAGTCGTGGCCGTGATTAGTAAGGTGTGGGAATGAGATCCTAATGCGTGGCTGTGATTAAGTAAGGCATGATTTCACTGCCACAACATAATTATCTCATTCCCACACCTTACTAAGTCGTGATTACTTTCCACACTAAAATACTTACAAAAAGTAGTGTTATTATTTGAAAATACTTAGAAAAAGTACATGTAATTGAGGAAATACTCCCCACTACAAACTTCTGTTTTAATAATTTTCTCTAACAGCTTCACCAAAATTGTGCACAAGTACACGGATCAGACGAAAACGCAAGTCCCTTTCCTCACAAATGCACTCGAGTAGAAGTAAAAGTATTAGCATTTCATCAATTCATGCTCCCGCTGATGTTTCAGTGACTCCGCTGGAGGTGAAGGATGCCACTGTTTCGTCAGCTGGAGGCCAGGCCAGAGAGAGAGAGGGAGAGGGAGAAGCAGAAGCAGAAGAAGAGGAATCGCAGACGTGAGTGCAGCGAGGAGGACGAAGATGAGCCTTCCTCTCTGACCCGTCTGTGCCTCCTCAGCCTGGCGGAGAACATGAAGGACGTGTGGGTGCAGGACTATGCGCAAAACTACATGGATCAGTACTTCTTCAGGTACATCATGGGTCCCTTTAGCTCACTGCGTAAGTATATGCCACGCCTGCCTGTGTTTACTGACAGAGTCACAGTTATAACCCACATTAATGTGTGCAGGGAACAGATACACGGTGTGTACATGGTTTGATGGTTTGAGCACTCTATAGGAGGTTCTTCCTGCTCTGATGTTCTTCCCCTTTTGCCTGAATCACTACTTCTTCTTCTCTGGTAGTTTTCTGTAGTTTTGTAGACCCTTCTTTACAGTTTCTGGGCCTGGATTTTGTAATCACTGGTAGGTATGATGGTAGGCAGCCAGTCAGTGACATTAACAGTTGAGTAAACTACCAGTGATACAAAATCCAGGACCAGAATCTGGATTCAAGGTCCAGATTTGAAGGTCTCTTTTGAC